CCTTTTAGTATCTTATAATCTGGACAGTAGGGGTCACCACACTTGAGGCATTGGTCAACGACTTTTCTTTCTTGCCAAACTTTCTCTGTGATTCCCAGTTTCTTCCAAGGCTCCCGTTCGGGCAAGCCTGGATGGGGTGGATATAGTTTGTCCCAAGTACTATACCACGCGCCTCGTCCTCTTCCCCAGATGGAATACAAACCTTGACCACCTTGTGAGGGACCATTACCCCTTCCACCCGCGTAGTAGCTACCTTCGCCACCACCCCATTAGGTGCCAGGTCCTCTTCCATAGCGTCCGCAGCCTCCTCTTCCTCGGCCCCGTCCTCTTCCTTGACGCCCTCCCCTGCGGGCTGCAACGGCCACGTAGCTCGCCTCCTGAGCTACCGGACCGCTGGGTCCTCCCTCCAGACCATAATCTATTTGGTCGTAGGAGAGAGTTTCAACACCTCCTTCTTCAAAAGTTAGAAGAACGTTGTCTTTCCCAGGGATGTTCCCTGAGATAGTGCGGTTCTGCCACTTTTTACCCGCTTGCAAATCCTTCCAGTAATGGCAGTAATTTGCTTCAGCCAAGAAGCCAACATGATCTATGGCCATCTTACCGAACTTCTCGTAGGTCGTCCCCTCTTCTTTTGTACGGGGATAAAGCTGAGTACGGAGGGGGTCTGGCAATGCTCTTGCGAAGTTATTGAGGATTTGAGTAGGAGTCAGTCCATGTTCAACGCATTGCAAGAGTTCATCCATCGTTGCTTTAAGTGCAGACGCACTCTTCCATTTCCGATCCGCAATATTTAAAATCAGCATTTCAGTTCGACGAGCCAGATTTTTATCTTCAAATCGTTCTCTTACTGCCTTAAAGAAATCTTCAATTCTTGTTTGTTGTTAATATTCGATCATGGTTTGACAATTTGCTTATTTTTGCAACGAAATGACGAAGCTCATTGCATCGTCGGCCCTGCATGAAGTGACCATTAGAACTCTATCCCAATACGGGATGCGCTGACCGTACACATAGGACTCTACAACTGCAATCCAATGTAAAACACTTTCCTCTCTGTTACCGGTGTAAGTCCATGGCACCTTACTTTAATTTTCCTTACATCAGTGTCTTCGTCTACCCGCAACACTCCTTTTCCTTTCTTATCACCGTCGCCCCCAATCTCCGTCTCCATCTCCACCTCCTCCTCCGCCGCTGCCTCGAACTATTTTCTCAATCACGGCCGGAGTAAAGGTCTGGGTAATATGGTTATCGAATTTTTGAATGTATAACTGTATATGTTGGTCAACGTCCTTTGCGGACTTCTGTAGAAAGCTGTTCCAGACCCCCTGAAACTCATACTGGTGGGTCTAAACTTTCTGCAAGGTTCTGTTCATTGCTTCTAACTCTTGCTTCGTGTGTAGGACTGTTTCTGTTAAGAGGGCTAGTTTTTCTTTTGTAGCAGCTTGCTTATCTTTTTTCTCCCGCAGTTCTCTTTGTAGCCTTGTCCCCTCGACTTGCAGTCTTTTCCGTTCATCCAGTTCTTGTCGTCTTGCTGCTAGCATTTTCATATGCAGTTCGACCCACTTTCCTCTAGCAAAAGTTCCTTTTCCCGTTGATCCGTAATGGATGCTAGTTTTGCAACGAATGTGTCCCTTTCTTCCTCTGTCTCTTCAATTCGGTCGCCGGAATAGGCATATTGGTCATACCAATCCAGCGGCTTAACCTGGAGTTTCCCACCTGCTTGGCTAGTCTCACCCCTTTCCGCTTTCCGCTTGCTGAGTTTGTCTCCTTCATCATCGAGCTCTTCTTCTTCTTCAATAGTCTGCAATTCTTCTTTTAATTCCTTTTCTAACTTTTCTCTCATTTCTTTCTTCATTCTCTCATCTTCTATCTGCACCTTCTTCCTTATTTCTTCTTCCTTTTGTCTTTTTCTTTCTTCTTTTCTTTTCTTCTTTTCAGCTTGGCGGAGTTCCACTTCAGCCTGTTCTGCAGGCGTGGACCCTGGCTTCACGGCACCGGTGTCGGGACTGGTGAGTCCCGAATGACTTCCCGTCACTCGAGAGATTGTATATGACTACTTTGTGCAAGGCAGAGAAAACTGGAGGCAAGAATGCTAGAAAGATCGGAAGCGTGGGCACAAGCAGTAGGAAGCTAGAAGCTGTCCAGGGTCGTCAGGAACGCCAAAGTAAAAAAGGACGGTCTAAGCAGGAAGCGGCAAAGGACTGTGAGAGAATAGCAGGGGCGACTCTTTCCCCGAAGGACGGAGAAGGAAGAAAGCGGGAAGGGTCAGGGCGCCAGGAAGTCGGTAGTAGCATAGGAAGTGCGCAGCAAGGGAAGGAAGGAAGCGGGAAGGGTCAGGGCGCAAGGCGCTAACGTGACACAGCGGCAAGAGGGTCAAGGAGGCCGCAAGTTAGGTGGGAGTCCATAATCCGCCGTGAGGTAGCAGCAACACCATGCTATGTGGATGATGTGTTCAAACTATTCGAGGTACTGTGGTTCGACTAAACGTGGGAAAGCCGTGGGGCCAGGCAAATATGGGAAAAGTTGATAAGATAAGGGAATGGGATGTCTGGCCATTGTAGGGTTGAGTGCGGATCACGAGCCAAGAAATCAAAGGCGAGTGTGCGATGCCGTGAAGAAGGACGTTCCTTGAGGAACGCCCCTTGGGCATTGAACCGCCTAGGGAAGTACCGGGTGGGGTAGAAGTTAGCTTGCCGGCGGCAAGTGGAGGCTGGCACTAGGTGGCGGATTGGGTCGGGGTTGAACTTGCGGAAAATATGGTTTACTTGGTGACGAAAGTTGAGTGGCGTGCGGATGAGAATGGAGAATGGAACCCGGACCCGCGGGGACATGTGCGTGCAGAAGGATGGCTGTATGTGTCAGAGGATGGGTGGAGGGAGTTCGGAGTTCGGTTGGCATCGGGAGAAGACTTGTTGAGCATGTTTGAAGGGGCATGGCAGTTAGTATGGCGAGCGAGATTCGAGTTCGCAGATCCGGGGGTTGACGATGTAATAGCGGACCTTAGGGTAGCCATGGTCGGGAGTTTCGAATTGCCTAGTGAAAATGTACGAATGAGGCTGCCGCCCTTCCTGCTGGAAAGGCTGGCGGTCTGGGACTTGTTAGACGAGCGGTAGCCGACCTCGCAAACCTGACATATGAAGATGCGATGGTACATCGAGAATACTATCGGGCCTTCCTAGAAATGGGCCCGTTCAGTGGAGAGCAGAAGTACGAGGTGCTTCGCATCCTGCGTGCTGTGTTTAGCACCAGGCCGAGGGCTCCGGTCGTGGGAAGTGAGGTCCTGTGGGGTGTCATCCGACGGGAAATAAGTCAAGGGATGGTGTACGTGGACAATCTGTACCGATTGTATGAGCCAATGGACGTAGGGACGGACCAATAAAAGAGGTCGAGGAAAGAAAAGGAAGGTTCAAGCTAGAAACCGGGGAGTGTTCGGGCGGGAGCTGAAGATTAAATGAAATAAGTAAAACCGTTTGCTGTTTAAACTGTGCAGGGGACTACTAAGTCAAAAATGGCGATGAGACGCGCTCGGATGTTGCGACGGTCCACACACCCGCGGCCACCTACGAAAAGTGGAGGCGGATGGGAGGTATCGCTCCTAGCAAGCTACATGATCCAAGGATTGGACATCGAATGGAGGGCCATGACCCTGGGAAGAGGTCAGGTGTTCATGATGGTGGAATGTTTGTGGGATGGTATGAGAATTAACATGGGACCGGGAGACGATCTGTATACCGATCTTAGGGTAACGGGAACCATATACCTGTTGGAACTTGGATGGTACATGCTAGGAATGGAATTGGCATTAGGTCACGGGTTGCTACCAATCTTCGAGAGGGCTACTAGGATGTTGAACAGGGTGGGCCAGGAAGTGCGGGGGAGAAGAGATGTGGGATTAAGAACTCGGGTGGAGGTCGGAGGCTGGCGAGAGTTTAAGGCCCCAATGACCGGGTTGAGGTGTCGAGTACCTCATTTCATGGTGGACTTGGTATTTGGTAGCCTCAAGAGAGCTAGGGACCTCGTGGATTCGACCCTGGTCTGGATCCACCTCTTCCGGCCACAAACAACGAGCATGTTCTACGATGTGTCGGTCAGACATGGGCCGTTGTGGGGGAATCAGGCCTGGGAACTACTCGAATTACTCGAGATCTTGATATTCGGATTGCCCCACCTGTCGTTTGAAAAATATGAGCCAATAATTATCACGGAAATAGAGATGGGGGAAAATTACCTTACGGGTTGACTGACCTGTTCGAGGAACCGGATGAGCAGGGCAGGCCTGAGGGACCAGCATGAGAAAACGCGTCAAGAAGAGGTAGGGAAATGAAGGATGGGTACTAAGATAAGTAGGCAGCCATCAGCAAAAGAGGGACAGTGGTTGGAGTTTCGGCCGACCCAATGATGCGGCCGGGAGGAACTAGGAAAACCACCGCTCCAAAAATTTTGGGGCACCTGGATGCCAATAAGCCGAAAGGGACATCCTCGATAAGGAGGTCACTGGGCTCAAACACCGCCTTAAGAGCCAAAGCGCGACACTGATAAAATGCCAAGCAGCGGCGGCAAGTCCCCCGGCGGGAGAAAACCTGGAGGACGCCCTGGGAAATAAAAGTCAGGAGAGTCGGACCGATTAATATAAAACGCACAAAAAAAACATGGGAATAGGCGGGTTTTAGGGTCGGGACTAGGCAGTTATGAACAACCGGCCACTTTTTCGCAAAAAACAATTTCCATGTGCAGGCTAGGTAAAGAAATGGCGACTGAGGAAGGGATTGATGACCAGCAGAGCGGAGGGAATCAGGGCACGAATGGGGATGGGGAACGAAACGAGGGATCGGCCAGGGATCGAGAGTCAACCAAACTGGAAGGAACCCGAGAAGACGGAAAGGACGCCTCAACTGGAGAAAGCTTGGGGAAAGCTGGGGGTAGCAAAAGGGGACCTCAGGAAAACAGGGAAGGGGGAAACGATATGAGAATAAGCCCTCGGAACTCAGCAGGAGCCACCCCTAAAAAGACAAAAGTCTCGGATGCCAGTCGTAAATTGGCAGAAATAGAAAAGCAGACTGCAAAATTTTAAGGCAAGGCTTATCGAGAAAATGATGGCCGAGGATGAGGAGGACCCCCAGGGCGCAGGGTCACGTGAGGGACGCAGGACCGGTCAGGACGAGGCCATGTATGAGGGGAAGGACAATAGCCACAAAGGAACGCCTAGCAAGAAGGGGAAGGACAAGAACGACCCCCCGACGGAGGGGACGGAAAACGCTATGACCCCGCCTGCCATCGACAGCGGCACTAGCCGACTGCCCGCCACGCCGAAAGTAACAGGGGCGTGCGACGGACTCTGGAGCCTTAGGGAAAGGGTGCTAGGATGGTTTGATCCAAAAGGAACGCTGAAAACCAGGGATAAGCAGAGGGAAAGCAAGGAAGGGGAAGGGACCAGTGCAGCTGGAGAAGCGGGTAGCTCCGAAGGTGGTCTCAAGAGGATAGTCACCACCCTCACGTTCGATGGGGCAAACATTACGGAGTTTCTGATAGACTATGAGAACCTAACAGCCTTACTAAAATGGACGGAAGAGGAAAAGATGGAGCACCTAGGGCAGCACGTGTCGCTGAGCTTGGGAAGGGACATTATGGCCATCGTCGCGTCCAGTGGATCCTGGAAAGAAACCGGATCCTGGAAAGAAACCAGGAACGAGATGATGAGGAAATACCTGAAGCTAGAGAAAATGGCAACAGAGGCCGAATTAGCCGCAATCCAGAGAAAAAACTATGCGACTTACAACGATTTCCTAAGGCCATTTACGTTAGTGGCGCTGCGAATTCCCGGGGTAACGGACCGCATAATGAGTAAATATTTCCTCAGGCAGTTCTCCGAGTTTGATAAGGATAAAATTCTATCAGCATACCAGCAGACCAGCAAGTTTGAATACACAAGGGATGTGGATTTCAGTACCGTAACAGATCTTGCAGAGAAAACAGTGGTAACGGAGACCCTGGCCCTGCTTAAGGAAGGGGAGATTATAGACCTGACTGGGAAAAGGGTGTAGGGGCCGTACCCTTAAGGACTTTCGAGCCTTGGTCGACCCCACTGCGGGTCCCACTTGGCTCGACCCGCCCACGCTCACGCTCAGGGCGCGGGTCGTTCGTCCCAGGGGCACCCCCACCTAGTGCTTTGAGATGGATGGGGATGGGCCTTTTGCGAGAAGGCTTTACATTGGGGGATGTGGCTCCACTCTCGCGTCAAGATGGTAGCTCTTTGGGCACTCGTGGCGTTTTCTCAATTCAGTTAAGTCTGACCAGTCAATTGCTCCTTCCAATACACAAGCAGTCCAGGGAGTTCATTGAGAGTTTGCCTTCTTACCGTGCGCATGCCAAGCGTCATCCATTGGGCCACGCACCTTTTACTAAGTCTAGTGGCTCAGGGCAGCCCCGTCGGCATCCTTGGGGTGCGGCGGCGTCGCCCGGACCCCTAGCCGCTATTTTTTTTTTTGCCAGAGCCACTAGCATCGCATCACCTATCCAAGACCGCCCTTAGTCTTTCCAGGCGTCACATTGCACAAGAGAGAGACATTCCATGCAACCCCCACACAAACCAAGTCATGCATCCACCATCCACCCAAGCGTCCGACCTTAACTCATCCCGCATCCATGGCTTAAGCCGGATCCAAGTCCTTCCCTTAGCCAATCTCCCACCCTAGTCCTCATCCGCGGGCCCAGCCCTGTCCAAATCGTCCCTAGCTACTCACCTGCGCAAGACCACACAAGACAAGAGACCAAGTACAATCCCCATCGGGGTCAACACATCGCCCCTTCCCGCAATCCTAACTTGTCTTTGCCTTCCAATTCCCCTTATGAGTTCCCTTTCCTTTCACGCAGGCGATCGCCTCAGTCATGCAATCCGGGAGGATGGTTGAGTCAGACTGACCTCGTCCAAAATCAGCACTCCTTTTCGCTTTCGCAAATGCTCTCAATAGTCCCGTATCCTTTCCTTCTTGGTGGCAGAAGGGACCGACAGCCCTTCCCTTGCCCCCGCTTTCCACCAAGTGAGGACTAAGTTCCTTTCCGTTCGTTCCCTGGCAATGTAACATGTTAGGGTAGAGGTTAGTCACATGCCATGGAGGGGGAAGGGGTGACGGAAGGGTTAGGGGTTAAATAGTTTTGAAGGAATGGAGGAAGACGGATGGAGAGGGAGAGCAAGAGAGAGAGAAAGAG